GTTCATGGTTTTGGCGCCCATACCGAACCGGGGTATGGGGACGGCCTGAAATCAGGTGTAAATATTAATGGTTCACGTGTAGCGGGGACCCCCCTATGGATCCTCAGGGATACTAGTAGGCTGGTAAAAGAGGAAATCTATTTTTTGATGATTGAAATGTAAAGGTATGATATGTGTTATGTTATAAAGTGTGTATGATTTCATGATATTATAAGGTTATTGTTTTCATATGTTGTTTTCATGGATCTCACCGAGGTAAGTGGACAGTAAAGGTTTTTATGTTAATAAACGAGTTCGTTATAAATTATGCTCCACTGGTCATTTTTGTTTTCTACCCATCTTTACTTCTGTGGCGGTGAGATAGTGTGATGTCTTTACTAGGTTGGTGTAGCTCATCCCTTATTTAACCATTTCAGATCATGAAGATGTTGTTCCCGAGCTTGTTCCGCAGGAAGACATCGAAGGGGACGCCTAAAGACTTTATAGTTATATTTATAGTTTTTATTTCAAGTATCTCTTTTAGTTAGTTTGTTCTTTCATGTTTTGAGTACGTTTTGGTTATTGTGTAAGGGATGTTAATCAAAATTTTTATTACACTTCCGCATTTGATATTTTTAATACATATATTTCATTTAAATTTTCGGGACCGTTACAGTTAGTATCAGAGCTGCGTTCCTCGGACCCATCCCTTACACAATAATGCTTAGAGAAATATTCACCGATAAACCGTTACTCAACTATTCCTTATGAAATGCAGGTGCAGAGAGATGAGGAGAGGAAGACCCCCACTAAACCGAGCATCTTGGGATAATTCACTTTGGGAGGATGTAGACAAGTTATTTGAGATGATGAAAGGATTCATAGCTGCCTAGCAAGGGCGAGAGGAGAGAAGGGAGTTACTCGACCCTCCTCCACTATCGCAGGTTGAGCCTCCACTACAGCAGGCTGATCCCGAGCCACCCCGGCACGAGCCTGCTCCTCCACAGTATCACCCGGCACCACTGCCGTAGTACAACCTGGTGCTCCAGCCACGGTACTACCCGGCACCGCCACAGCACGACCCAGTGCTCCCAGCATATCAGCAGGTGCCACCACAAGACCCCCCAGTCTATCCCTAGCTGGGTCCAGTCCCTCCTCCACGGGACCCCGCTCCTTCCTTGATCGACCCGAGCTACATAGAGAGGTACAGGAGACTGAACCTCTCCACCTTTGCAGGGGGATCCTCTTTTGAAAAGACCCAGCACTGGTTGGCGGAGACTGAGAGAGCTTTCAGGACCTTGGGAGTAGTTCCTGAGCAGAGAGCTGCCCTTACTTCCTACATGTTGGTAGGGGAAGCAGGACGTTGGTGGGAGCTCAAGCAGACCACCCTGCCTACACCAGTCACTTGGGAGCAGTTCTTAGCGGCCTTCCATGCGGAGTATCTCCCTGAGCACATTCGACACCTAAAGGAAACGGAGTTTGCTCAACTGGTTCAGGGAAACATGACAGTATCAGAATATGCTCGTAAGTTCTTAGAGCTGGGCCGATACTCCCCGGAGACATTGATGGATGAGAGCCGAAAGGCCAGGAGATTCCAGTGGGGTTTCCACCCAGAGATCAGACAACACTTGTTAGTACCGGAGCTCAAGACATATTCAGCAGTCCTAGCAAAGGCACAGATCGTGGAAAGAAGCTTCAGCACCCGTCCTCAGCCAGGAGGGAGTTCCCGACCCTCAGCTCCGTTCCGCAGGCCAGCACCTACTGCGCCTACCCAACTAAATAAGAGGCCCAGACCAACCATCCAGGCCCCTCCTCAGGCTCCAGGGGCAGCACGTGGGAAGATTTGTCAGCACTGCGGCAGAGATCACGGTGACCGACCCTGCTACTGCCTCAACAACACTTGTCGCATTTATGGCAGTGCCCAGCATTATGCAAGAGAATGCCCAAGGAACCAGAATCAAGGGAGGCCTCCTATCTAGGGCAAAGCTTACAACCTTACCCAGCAGGATGCCGACGCCGACCCGGATGTAGTACATGGTATGTATACTATCTGTGACCATATTGCTCATGTTTTATTTGACACTGGCGCATCGCACTCTTTTGTTTCACATGCTTTTGCTTCCAAAATTAATGTATCACCTGATAAACTTGATTCATTGTTGTTTGTATCTACTGCCGGGGGTGAAACACTACTAGGGGAAGTTATCTATAGGGCTTGTGCCGTGGAGATAGCAAATAGGAAACTGAGTGTAGACCTGATAGGATTAGACACGGGAGATTTTGATGTAATCTTAGGAATGGATTGGCTAGCGGTGTATCACGCCACCATAGATTGCTTTAACAAGAAAGTTGTATTTAATCCTCTTAACGAGGAGCCATTTACGAATTAATAAAATTATTCAGTACTTATTCCTTGATGGCAAGTTTTCTTAACTTCTAGTGCCTTAATCTTGCTGTTTTCTCTGACTAGGAAAGCCTAAGAAGGAAATTTGTATTCAAGAGATTCCGGTAGTCCGAGACTTCCCAGATGTGTTTCCGGACAAACTGCCCAGTCTGCTAGAGGACAGAGAAGTCGAGTTCACTATAGACCTACAGCCAGGTACCCAACCCATTTCGGTTGCTCCTTACCGTATGAGCCGCATTGAGATGGAAGAGCTGAGGAAACAGATCACCTAACTGCAAGACAATGGTTTTATTAGACACAGTGTGTCCCCTTGGGGTGCCGGAGTCACTTTTGCAAGGAAGGGAGATGGAACGTTAAGACTGTGCATTGATTACAGAGGATTGAACAAGGTTACGACCAAAAATAAGTATCCCCTTCCCCGGATTGATGACCTCTTTGATCAGCTGCAGGGTGCATAGGTCTTCTCTAAAATAGACCTACGATCAGGTTACCATCAGGTGAAGATAAGAACAGAAGACATCCCCAAGACGGCCTTCCGAACCAGGTACGGACACAATGAGTTC